CTCTCCCAAGGTCTCCATGCTCCCAATTTACTCAGGAGATCTTGTCTTTTTCTACTACCCATGTAGATCAGATCTATGTAAGTCTCTCTTAGGGTCCTCATTTTTGTCTGGGATTGTGATTTGCAGGCTGGTTTTCTTTGCTTTATCTTTAAAAGCCACTTATGAGTGAGTACATGTGATAATTGTCTTTCTGGGTCTGGGTTACCTCACTCAAAGTGATGTTTTTTAGCTCCATCCATTTGCCTGAAATTCAAGATGTTGTTATTTTTTCTGCTGTGTAGTACTCCATTATGTAAATGTACCACATTTTCCTTATCCATTCTTTGGTCGAGGGGCATTTAGGTTGTTTCCAGGTTCTGGCTATGACAAACAAAAGCTGCTATGAACATAGTTGAGCACATGTCCTCGTGGCATGATTGAGCATCCTTTGATATATAACTAAAAATGGTATTACTCTGTCTTGAGAAGGGTTGTTTCCTAGAAATTTTATTTACTTTGAGTGTGGAAGATAGCTTGTGGGAATTGATTCTCTCCTTCTACCATATGAGTCCCAGGGATCAATCTCAGAGTTGTCAGGCTTGGTGGTAAGTGTCTTTACCCACTGAGCCAACAACAGCCCGCAAGTGGTTTTTACATGCTGTCCCACAAACACTTTTGTACTTGTTTTTCATGGTTTTTGATATTTGAAATACTAAAAGAAATAGATGTGTTAGAGAATCTTGGTCAGGCCTGAGCTTTTGTGATGGTGAATGTAAGTTTATTATCAACCTCTCAGGAGTCCAGTGTATCCTGACAGAGGAGAAGGACCTTCTCCAATCCTAACGCAAGTGCTGGGGTGATAGCAGCTATGCACAGTGATACATCTTCATCGATGGGCGGGGAGGAGCCTTATAAGTTCATGGAATGAAGGCCAGTAGCCGGCAGTGTTGCAATGCCAGAGACAAGAGGAATTCTTCATAACCTAGCCCAGGGCCAGGAAAATGTTCACTCCTTCTCACTGTGTACCCATAGGCATAAGAGAAAGGTTACTTACAGCAAGAAGATTGCATAGGTAAGGGGGCTACAGAAGAATGCTAGAGGTTCCTGTTTGGTATTGGGGAAAAAAAAAAAAACAGGGCAGATGAAGTTCCTGATGCTATGGGACTGGCCTATTTTACAAGGACTCTGGCTCGCAGAACTATAACATACGAGCAGTATTTCGGATGATGAAAAATGCAACCAAAAGCTTACAGAAATTCAGCACTGTGTTTCCTTTGAACGCCGCAGTCCAGAATTCTCTAGTTGAGTAAGCATGGTTTCTGTGAGAGGAGCTAATGGTGTGCTCTGTGCCTGGATTACGAGGCTGGTGTCAGAGAGACAGTGCCATTGCCTTTGTCATGGACTGTAGAGCACTGGCGTTCAGTGTCACCCAGGCTCAATAGTCGTTCTTGAGAATGCAATTAAATATCTGGCCACTGTCTGTTTCCAAACATAGCACCCTCTTTATAAAGAATAAGGTCAAGGGAGACAAGTTCTGTTTTGTTTTGCTTTGTGATTTAGCACTGTGGAGAATGTGGTTGTATTGTCTCTAAATCCTTCAAAGTCAGCCCAGACACACCAAGAAAACCAGTGTATAATTAATGTCCAGAGCAAACTTCAGGCGCACATCTAGTGATTATATCATAATATATCTGAGACTGAAAATAACACGGACCATCTTCTGAGAAGCTTTTAAACTCCTGCTAGGGATATCAAGGTATTATTAAAGTATATTTGTGTCAGGAAGACAGGGACACTCAAATCCAGCCTTAGATTAATCCTTTCCTCCCACGAGATCCTTGAGAGAGACAGACAAAACAACAAGAAATGAAGGGGGGGACTTCTTACTCTGTGGCATTGATCCTAAACATAAACCTCAGACTCCAAAAGCTGGTTCCGAGCCTCTGGGCAGAACGTTACTGTAATGGATCCCAGCCTTCTCTGGAGATTCTAATTCATAGCCTGCTCCTGAGCCCCCTCCCATTAAAATTTTATTTCTGTCTTTTTTTTCCTTCCTTTTCTTTCCTTCCATCCTTCCTTTCTTCCTTTCTTCCTTTTTTTTTTTTTTTTTAAGAGAGAGTCACTTTGTGACTTAGGGACTAGGATTTTAAGTATGTACCACTATGGCTAGCTTGATTCATATCCTTAATAGACAAACACTAGGAATTTTTGCTTGGTGATTGTCGTATTTAACACATTTAAATGCCTCTGATAGCAGTGTGGAGAGAGCTGGAGGCAGGGAGAACAAGGGACAAAATTAGTTCTTAATTGTCGAAAGGTAGTTGTGCCGCCTGTGGAGTTGTTCTATATGTGGGCCCAGATCCTGGCTATCTTCAGAGATTCTGAACCCATGGGTCTAGAGCTTACGCTTGCCCACCTGTGTCCCATGTGATTCTCAGGGTTAGGAGTGGTGACTCGAGAAACGAGTTTCAAAGTCACAGGAGTAATAACCAGTAGACTCCTCTCTTATACCAGAGCCCTCCAAATTTCAGTAATAAAGGCTATTCAGGAAGCTTGTGTGTGACTGGCAGGGAAGCCCGAGGTAAGAGTTTGAGCTGTGTGACTGCTGAGACCTCCTTCTGTAGTGCTACGTGACAGAGCATACAACCTTCTGAGGATATAACCCAAGCACCTCTGGCATGCCATCCAGTTCTGTCGTGGAGGACTCTGCTTCTAGCCCTGTTTTCACAGTCCTTACAACATAACTTACTGGAGAGGGTTAGGTTTTAAGCCTGTTGTCTCTAGAACTGTCCTCTTGGTTTGAAGCTTACCTTGTCCAGGAGTGTTGCAACTTTCTAACCCCCATCTAACTCATTTCCTTCTAGGCAGTGTGATCAAGCTGGAGGAGCAGAAATCAGACCTAGAACGGCAGTTGAAGACCCTGACGAAACAGATAAAGGTAAGCCCTGACCAGGAACCTCCTCTATCATCTTATTAGACATTATTCCTGTCTTAGGTCGGAAACACTGGGAAAGTACCCTGCCATTTTACCCAGCCAGCTTCTCCCAGAGCAATGATTCTCAACCTTCATGTTGCTGCAACCCCTTAATAAAGTTCCTCATGTTGTGATGACCCCCCAACCACAGCATTATTTTATTGCTACATTATAACGGTAATTTTGCCACTGTTATGAATCATAAATGTCTGATATACAACCCTCAAAGCATCACAGCCCACACGTTGAGAGCCACTGTCCTAGAACATCTTGAGGCCATAAATCTGAGTTATATGTCCTTTCTGGCAGGATACGAAACTAAAGCAATCAGTTTTTAGTTGCAGAACTCTGTAACACCAAGGAGTTACCTCTTGTGCCTCTTCCAAGTAGCGAGACACAATTAAAGCCACATCTTTCTACTTAATCCTCTTTCTTGGTGGCTGATACTAGGATTCGGGAGCCCATGCATAGAGACCCCAGCTCCCTGCCCAGTATCTGAGGGACATGTGGGTTCTGTCATTTTTTAGGAAGAAACTGAGGAATGGAGGCGGTTCCAGGCAGACCTGCAGACTGCAGTGGTGGTGGCCAATGACATCAAGTGTGAGGCTCAACAGGAACTGCGAACTGTGAAGAGGAGGTTGTTGGAGGAGGAAGAGAAGAATGCCAGGCTGCAAAAGGAGCTGGGGGACATACAGGGACACAGCAGGTGGGTCACAGGAAGAGCCATACTTCTGTGAGTCTAATGGGCACATGACCAGTGCTTTGCTTCTCTCTTGATCTGTGTATGGTGTGTGTGTGTGTGTGTGTGTGTGTGTGTGTGTATGTAGTGGCTAGGCTGCTGAGTCGTGGGGGGATGGGATGCTTTTGTGTCTCTCTGTGCCAGGTTTTGCTGTGTTTTTTCTAGGATCACTGTACCACTACCATCGTCACTATGCAGCTAAAAAATTCTGTTAGAGTTCTGCACAGGATTTTAGAAAAAAACACATCACCTACATGTGAAGGAAAAGATCTAGCCAGATGTCTCTTATACTTAAAGAAAAGGTACCTGTTAGATTTTAGTATTTATCAGCATAAGGAGAGCACACTTGCGAATACTAACTTGGTCTCATACATCAGGAAAAGCTAAAATGATTTTGAAAGAGCACTGCCTCCAGATAAAGGATCCATTTCCACCAGCCCAGGGCTGTGTCTCCTGATTGCTGATCATGGGCTCTTGCAGAAAGGCCTCGACTTCAGAGGTAGAGGCACAAGGATAGAAGAAGCCAGCCAAGGCTACCTTACATAGTGAGACCCTGCCTCAAACAAAAAGAAACAAGAAAAGTCATGTTTCTGCTGGGGTCAGTGGCGACTGACACCTGTAATCCCAGCTCAAGGACAGAGGCAGGAAGATTAGGAGTTGGAGTTATCCTCAGCTACATAGTGAGTTCACTGAACTTAATTCCCAGCACCCATATCAGGTGGCTCACAATACCTCAGTCCAGTCGTGTTTAAGAGGAGGGTGTTCCTAAAGCAAACTTGAAATATATTATTATATAAAATTTAAGTGGGGAGCTGGAGAGATGGCTCAGCAATTACTAGAACTGGCTGCTCTTCAGAGGACCCTGGTTGGATTTCCAACAACCATACAGTGGCTCACAGCTATCTGTAACTCCAGTCCCAGGGGAGATCTGATGCCTTCTTCTGGTCTCAGAGGGTACAAGGCATGCACATACATGAGCATGCATGCATACAAAATACTCATATCCATAAAATAAAATTTAAATTTAAGTGGGATTCATAGACAAAATTATAAACAGCACTTTTGTCATTAGTAGTGTGACGTTCTCCATTAATTGGGAGTCAGTATCCTTAACTTTGAGCATTTTGAGTGTTCAGAAATTAATGTTGAATTTCCAAATGTCTTTCAAATATAAAATACTGTCTTTTAAAGTAAAATTTAGTGGCTTCTAAATATTAGTCTGGAGGTTGCCATAATCTTCGTGCTTCCCAGGATTAGAAAGGCTGGTGTTGACTTACTTCCTGAGCCTGGGGTCTGATCAGTGATCATGAGTTTCACAGCCTTGGGAAAGTTGTTAGATTCTTCTCACAATTCTGTTTCTTTGAATTCTGTCTATCAAATCTGTTTCGGGTGTGCCTTGTTCCTTTGGCTACAAAAGGATTTGGTAGTCAGCTCTCAAGACCATTATTTTGTAGTAAAGTTACTTTCTGGCCACCAAAGAATGTGAAGTTTTTGTTTCGGTTTTTTTTTTTTTTAAATTGAAGTCAGAAGGAGAATAGGAATAAAGGTTTCCTGATGTCCCCCACTGAGATGATCACATGATCCTTCTGTTTGCCTGTGTACCCGCTTTTGTCGTCTGTCTTGCTTCCACATTGTATGTCTTTGGAAGAGGAACCACGCCATAACTTGTATTGCTTACTATTTGCATTATTTTAAAGATTAATGTTGTGTAAAAGATGGGCTCTGCATTTCTATGGTGACTCTGCATAGATTATTGTACAAGATGGTGCATTTCCCGTTAGGGTCTCAGATCCCAGCCGAAACTCTGATGGAACCGGAAACCTCTGTCTGTGTCTGTGTGCTGCATTCTGTCCCTTTAAAAACACATCCATTTTCTGATTTTCCTGAACATTTTAAACCAACTACCCAAGTCAAGCAACTTATCACAAAACCTTTCAGAACTTTAGGACCTACAACGGTTACCATTAGGCTTCAGAGTGGATATTTGCCTCTCATTGCGTTTGGCAAGACATGGGACAACTGCTGATGCTAGGCGTATCTGATTTCACACTTCTCACAAGCTGCCTCCTTGAAGAACTGACTTTTTGAAAATTCCTTGCTGGTAACTCAGTGCCCTCCCGAACCTACCATATGAACAAAAATGGAAGCCAGCCCACATCCTTGAAGCTCCTGATGCAGCTTAATGTTTCCATCTTGGTGGAGCAAGTTCTTGCCTGACATGCGATTTGACTTTGACGGTCATCTCGTAAGAACCCAAGGGTCATTCACGGAGAGACCCAGCCAGACAGCTTGCAGAGGATTCTCTGATGAGGTCCTCCAGGCACAGCTGAGAGAAGATAAGCGCAGCCGGGATGCAGCACAGCTCTAACAAGGGGCTAGCAATTCATACTCCCGTTCTGTGTCAGTGGACATTCAGAATCACTGTAGAGCGAAGCTGATAGGTGAGCAAATGAGGAGCCTGGGTAGGAGTACAGAACAGCGTCTGTTATCAACGACCAAGTTACTAAAGCGAAGTCAGTTGTATTTAACTCATTAGTATTCTTTAGTCCCATTGTATTTTCAAATGTGTGGTTTTTTTTATTTTTGTGTCTCGTATGGTTTGAGTGTTTTGTTTTGAGCTCAAGTAATTCTCCCACCTCATCTTCCCTAGTATTTAGAACTGTAGGCACATGCCGTCACTCCTGTAGAGTCAGAATAATTGATCTTACTCACGGGATTGCCCGGTATGCTGGTGACATCTCTAGCCCATACTTGAACAAAAGGATAAGTGAATTTGAGGCCAGCATGAACTACATGAGATCCTATCTTTTTAAAAAAAAATAAAAATAAATCATAAAACGGGGGTGGGGGGCTAGAAAAATGGCTTACTCAGTATGTAAGTATACTTGCTTTGTAAGCATGAGGACCTGAATTCAAACTCCCAGTAACCAAGTAAAAAAGCTGGTCATGGGCACAAATTGGGGGTTCAATCAGGTGGATTCCAGGAGTTCAGTGGCTAGCTAGCCTAGCTAAAACAGTGAACTTCAGGTTCATTGAGAGATCCTGTCTCACAAAAATAAGGCAGAGAGCAATAGAGAAAAACACTTGACATCTTGTCTAGTCTCTGTACATACAAGCACAAGTGAGCATATATACATACACATATATACACATACCACACACAGCTACTCCTCAAATATGTGTATAAATATACACCCACACACATATATATGTATATAGCAATATAAGTACATATATATGTTCCCATGTATCTCAATATCTTAATACTAATATCTTGATGTTAATTCATTTCTTTTTTATGATGCCAAAGGATTTAATTCATAAGATAAAGCAATTGTGACTATTCATGCCTGAATTATTCTAACAGCAACAGTCAATCATAAAACAGAAATTGCATGAGCTATAAAGAGAAATATGCAAAAGTCACAGAAAATAATCATGCTCTGTAAACTCATTCTTCTCACCCACTGGCACTGTCTCCTTTCCTGTGCGGCTCTACTCTGTTTAGATTAGGAACTATGAGTAGGCAGTGTTTGTAAATTCTTCCAAACTCTCCCATTCTGAGGCTGGTTGGTTAGCTGATCTCTCTCTTTTGAGTCAGAATCCCAAGGGTTTGAGTCAGAAAGCCCTGCCATCTCTCCCATGTAGTGCTTGGAACTTCACTGATGGCCACCTCCAAATGTTAGCTGTGACTTGCAGGCCTGATACTTTTCTTCCAGAATTTGAATAAGCTTATGTGTTTTTATTAATGAACATAAAAATATTCTGTTTTCCGGACATACAAATTAATGAATGAAAGTATAAGACATAACTTTCTCAGTCATGGCTTCTTCTCTGTTTGGACAGTTAGGAGATAGGCATTGAAATGAAAACTCATTAAAATTAAAACATCAAGTCTGGGATAGGATGTACTTCATTGGTATGCTGCTTGCTTAGTGTGTACCAGACTCTGGGTTTAATCTCCAGCATCTACATACATACATACATACATACATACATACATACATACATACATACATACAGCCATCAGATCTGTTTCCTAAGAAGTTGAGTACTGGAGTCCAGCAGATACAGGGAAACATCTCAGTGTCTGGATTCCATGGAACCACTTATATTACAGTCCTTCTAACCAAAGGTGTTGATGATGAACAGGACATGCACAGGTGTCATGAATAATAGTGGAAATTATTTTTAGATGACTTGTCCCATTCCTATAAAGTTTATCATAATAGTACCAATAAGCACTGGTGGAAGACATCTTCAAAAGAAAGCACCCATTAAAAACACTAAATATTTGCTCCCAATTTATAACATTAACTTTCAAAATAAAATGTTTCAGATTCACATGTGTTGATCCTTGAATTTCCCCTGGATCACACATTGTCCTCAGTGCACATGTTACCCTCAGTTAAGTGATCAGTGTGATAGCTTGTCCCATACAGACTGCTGGAGCTGGCTTTTGATATGTGCTGTGCACTAACGTCCGTCGTGTGTACCTGTGCCACCCTGTTTCGTCCTTAAGCTCTAACATTTCACAGCCACACAGCGTGTGCTCTTTCTGTAGCTGCTGCTAGAAGTTCATATGATGGAGGTATAATGTTCTTGGGTGACAAAAATGTCTCTTGGAGCTCTCTGTGATACTGAATCCCTGGCCTTGGTGGAGAGACCAGTTCCCATAGAAATTCCTATGCAGTTTCTTATTTAACCTTAGCATTCCTGGGGCCACAGGCATTTCATTTGGCCCTTAAAGTAAAAATTGACCATCTTCTATGATCTTCTCAGCAAGCACAATTCAGTCACTTGCATATGCCTTCATCGTTAAAATACACAGCTATGACTTTATCTAAAGTATCTACTATTTAGTATCTACCTATTTAGTGATGTTTCAGTCTGTGTGTGTGTGTGATGCTGAGGACCAAGCCTAGGACCTTGCACATGCTACACAAATGCTCTATCTCTGAGCTAAC